CTGCATTATTTTCAGATTCATGCTTTACCTTTTGCAAAAAGTGTATGTAATTTTAGATTGCTTGCTTCTAGTTAAAAGATCTTTATAAATTTCCTTATATGGTGCTAAGCACTTATGGAATAACGGAAAAACATCTGGCAACACCAGAAGCAGAAGCGTGGAGATCTGGCAAAATTGAAACAATTTTTGCAAAGGACCATGTGAATGGAGAAGAGAAAAGAAAATTTACACACTGAAGTACTAATAGTTCACGAAAATAATAATTTTCGTGAACTATTAGTACTTAAGTATGTAAAAATTTATTACATTTCATGTTGTTCGAGGGTTTTACCCATTTCTCGAACCGTGTCAGAGTGGATCTGTGTTATAAAAGTACCGTGTTATACGGGGGATGGTACCAATTCTCAAACCGTGTTAGAGTGAATTCGTTCTATAGAAGTGCCGTGTTATACGGAGGTTACCTGTATAGTCAATTACTAGTGTGTTCCTTGTGTGATTTGTTCTCTCAAGCAAAATTTAACTAAAGGATAGGTTGAATTTCTTCAATTTTACAGAGGATCCTGGCATTTTGGATGGAAAGATGGCCGACTGCAGTGTCTCATTTCATCAATGCACAATCACAGAATTTCTTATGAAGGAGAATAGTCCAATATCAAGATTTATAAATGTTCAGTGAGCATATGGATTTTAAAGTTTTAGGAAGGTTAGTGTAAGAAGATGAATCTGACTTTTCAAAGTTAGAAATGTTAGATTACTTGATAAAAAAGACTTGCAAGGAAGAAAGTCATTTTTCTGCATAATGATATTATACAGTGGAATTCACTTATTATGATCACTTTGGGACTTGCAAAGTTTGAAAGACAATAACCAACTGATAACATTACAGGATAAAAAATTTTCATTATTGAACTCAACTTATTACAATTACAGCATGAATGTATACAGTTTATATTTATCATAGACTATATACATAATACTTTACACAATTTATATATCTACAGTACATAAATTCTCTAAGAATTCTTGTTGTGCCATTACAGCATGTAAAAGATAAAAAGTTTGCTTTGGTTAAAAGTAAGTTTCAAAGAAAAGGTCCATTTAGTTTGAATTTTCTAAGAATTCTTATTGTTTGTCCTAAGTGTAATTATCACAATTGGTTATAATAGATACATTATTTTTAACTAATTTTATGTACTGTTTTGGGACCAACTGATTATGATAACAGTAGCCGGTTGACATTATCAGTGACTATAATAACTAGTTTTAGTTGTACTATGTGTTTTGGCACTCAATAGACTAAGACAAAAGCTGGGAAATTATTCCTCACCTCCCATACAATATCTAACATTATTGGACTACCACTTACTTTTGTGAAGAATTGTTTGAGAGGACAGCATTTCACAAGTGATGGAACAGTCGAGGAAGTTGTACAACACTGCTTAAGTATTGTTCGAACAGAGTGGTAGTATAGAGATATCTTTGAATTGCCAAAATGGTTGTAAAAGTTCATCAATAATGGTTGAAATTTTATTAAAAAATAAAAAATGTTTATAGATTTTTTTAATATATTCATTTTCTTTCTATAGACCAGAATTTTATGTGAGACTAATCGGGGGTAGGATGTTTATGAGTTCTTGACTCTCCTATCTCTTACTCGACTCAAGACCTTGAGGTCTGGTCTCTCTTGTCCAAAGGATGGGTTCTGTTGAGCGAAAGGGTTATAGAGTTAAGGATCGTTAAATCTTTTCTCCTGTCAGGATCCGACACCAATCTATCAATTTCTTAGCAGATAGATTTGCGTTTAGTTGAGGACAAATTATCATGAGCGATCTCGTGGAGGACTTCAGGTTCAGTATGGAGGTGATAATGTTAGAAGAAATGCAATCAAAATTCGTTAACATTATACCCATTTATTGTTGAACGTTTTTACATACATGATTAATTAAGGAATTGAGGGTACAATTCCCTCTCGGGATTTTCAATCCGTAATATTCATAAATTTTGGGTTTGATAGCGGACAAAATATATATTAGTCACGACCTCAACTGCAAGTTGGAAATATTCGAGAGAGAGCTTACATATCATCGCAAGTAGGATAAATACCTCTAGTTATACAGGATGGGGATTTCAGGATGATCTTGGAGTCTGAATCCGGGCTCGTTAAAATAGTTCGTGAGTCGACGTAAGTGCACAAATCGTAGAATAGTTCTATCGAAGATGGTGGCGATGAGAGGCAGGTAATCCACACACACACAGAGTACAGAAAAATAACTTTCCCCCGTGTCGTCATCGCACTTGCCTTTTATATGGGGGGGCTCTCTTTTTGAGATTTCCCCATGTTCATCACAGGTGATGATCTTCTTTGACCAATGGTGGGTGAGGTGACAAAATTATGACACAACAGTTAACTCATCTTCTACAAGGAAGTATTTTCGTGGGAACGGAGTTTTATGAGCGATTTTTATGAGAAAATTTTGTCAGTTGTTTTTCTCTTTTTGAGTTAACCCTAACTTTTATAAAATCGGTTTGGTTTTGAAACAAAAACGATAGATGAAAATGAATAAAAATATTTGAATCTGTTTTCTTAAATCTGGGCCCTCACATTTATATAAAAAATTGATAATCATTTGGTACAAGCCTTGTATATACAGTCATATGGGATGGCATGATTCCATCTTCATACATAAAGAAATAATAATTTTTATATTTTGATATTAAAATAGACTCACTTAGAATTTTGTTGTGTTCAAAAATTTCTCTGGTTATGTGATACATCATGATTAAGTATTTAAACAAAAATAAAAATTATTTAGATATTTATGTGTTATTTTATTTTAATATTAATTAACAATATGTTTATATTTACTTTTAAAATTTTACTTGTGTTTAATATATTTTCAGGTATATGTTAGGAATTGCGGGAATTCCATCATTTATTCAGTTTTTTGGCTTTCTCTGTATGCCAGAGTCACCAAGATGGTTGATAAGCAAAGGTTATTATGAAAAAGCAATTTCCGTTTTAAAACAAGTCAGAGGTTCCAAGGTTAACATACAGCCAGAATTTGATGCAATAAAAAATAATTTTCTTGAAACTGAACAGGAAAGAAAAGAAGCTGGAGGTATGTTTAGTATTTACTAATGATTTTGTCCTTTTAATTATCAGGATAAGTCAAATCATTAATAATACTGGGTGTTCCCCTGAAGCAACCCTAATTTTGTGGATTTACATTAGAAAAAGATAAGAGTATAGTACTGTGTACTATGGTAATAGAAAGTCCATCTGAAAAAGTTAGTTACTACATTAAATTAGAACATTTCCACATATGCTCCTGACGTGGCAAGTTTGATATCCTGACCAACATTCTCCAACACATTTTATTCACATAGCTGAACAGTTTAGGACATGGGATGTTTCAGGGAAACACCCTGTACATATAAAATTTATTTTAGGAATGTGAATAATCATGAAAAATTAATGTAAAGGCATCCAAAAAAGACTTAAATATATCTTGTACACATTTTTCTTATCACATTAAGAGTTCAGAAGGTAGTAGTTAATATAATATAAATAATAATAAGTTTGTTTTTGCATTTTTCATTTTCACAAATTATTTTTTGAAACAATTCAATGTATATTACACCACAAAAAACAGAATATCCAGTACTTTTTAAACACTTAAAAATAATTTTTTATGAGGTTTTCAAAAATCAACGCTATATAGAGTCAATGTACTAACACAATGTTGAAGAATAGTTAAGAATTCACACAAACATTTGATATATATTATTTAGATCTACACAACATATATTTATAATTCAATAGTTTAACATGTTTCAAAATTTATTTGTATATAAATTTTCCATTTTTGTAATGTGACTATTATAATAATTTGAAATAATACTATGCTTGTGTAGCTAGAACAATTTCTAAAATTATCAGCACAAAACCTTTCCCACTAATTTCTAGCCTCATTAACAGGGGTACAAACGTTTTTGGCCTTCTTAATAGGCCTTCCTCGGGTACACTGTGGAGCGTCGGTTAGAAGAAGTTTAAATGCTGCCAATGTTTACCCAGGTATCGTCTTACCAGTGACGTCATCGTCGATGATAGGTATAGAGGATACCGAGAGCGAAAAATACATACTTTTGGTAAAGAAGGGAGGTGTGCAGATAGGATACTTGCTAAAGTTGGGGGAAAAAATAACATACTTTTGGTAAAGAAGGGAGGTGTGCAGATAGGATACTTGCTAAAGTTGGGGAAAGAATTTTTAAAGTAAGCGCGCTACGTACAGGAGATGCACAATCACAACAGGGGGTTAGTGGGGAGTGACGTCATAGCTGAGGCCGTAAATATTCAACAATACAGTAAGAAGAGGCGTGTGAACAATTCTTACTGTATCGTTGAATATTTACAGCCTCAGCTATGAATAAATTTAGAAGCGACAGCAGTGTTGTCAGCTTGAGAGATTAATCCCTCAGTGTAGGGCATTTTCATGTACAAAGGAATTTTACAGATTTTCTTAGAAAACAGCCAAAAATGTAGGGATGCTTAGAATATGCATTTTTAATCTCTTTAGATGGAAATACAACTCTAAAGAACTTGATTTTGGCTAATAATGACAATATGGCATGAGTATATAACTTTACTCAATATTGGCTTCTGAATTTGTAATGAGAGGTATTTTTTTTACATACATGAAAGGGATTTTTGTTTTCTGTACAACAACCTAACAACACTGAATGGCACTTGTGGTTTTGAGTCCCACTTGGGACTGAGTATTTTCTTCCAGAAAATTCTAGTCTGATAGTTCAATAATTCGGCAGATCATCTAGCTTTAAAAGTATTTTTTATCAGTTCCATATCTTCCTAATTAAGCAAGTGGAAAAGACCAAAAATGTGACAAAAGAGAGCAAATGACCTGAAAAGTGAGGATACTTCAGAAAAGTGAATAAAAGTGAGAAAAGTGAGCAACTCCAAGGCTTGAAACTGGAATTATTCTTTATCAAAATATCTTATGCTATAAATTAATTAGCATGTATAATTTCATATTTTTTTGTATAAAAATAAGTAATTTTTTTTAATTTTTTTAAAAATTTATTTCTTGTTTCAGTGAAGTGCAGTATTAATATAAAGAACAATCAGACATCACAGTGTGCTTTTGCAAAGGATTATAGAATATATTCTATTGTTTATATATTGTAAGATGGAAAAAGAAGTTTTAATCCCTAATTTTGGTTAGCAAATATGTTTTATTTTGATTTTTCAGCATGTTTATATATTTTAAATTTGATTTACTCTAAACAAATTGATTAAAAACCTACTACTGTGAGGTAGGAATAAGGACTTATCACACCAGTGATAATAAGCACAAACACTCAAAATATTAATGGGATACATTTAATAAAACGAGAATGGGTGTACATTACAAACTATTAAATTAATAATTGACATGAAATAACCAAAATGCATTTCGGACTATCGGAATAGTCCCTCTTCAGTTGGTATACATATATAAAAAAAGGTGAGATACTTAGAATTATACAAGACAAAGAAACCGTTATAAAAGTATGATTATTGAGTAATAATTGGGTGTAGAGGAACAGGCTTAAGGTGGCTTCATTATGTTAAATGGTAGCTTGACATGAGGGATACTATTATAAACAGTATTAAAAATTAGTGAGATAATATGATGATTGTTTTACAAAATAAGTTAAATCTACATACCATAACAGTAGTAAGCTGGAGTTTGAAGGTGGTATTGCTACAAGATGTAGAACAGTTATGAGAGAGGTGTGTTACAGGCAACATCTGGGGAACAAGTGGTGACAAACAACTTAATGGCCAACCTTCATTACATCACTTACCAGCCAGATGTTAGTATTAAGACAATAGATTTCATCATTATATATATGAGGGTCTGTGCTCAAATATCAACTGGGATCTAGGCAAATTATTCTATAAATTAAATATAAAGGAAATTGCTTTTAGCCCTTGATTTAAACAAATTGATTAAAAACCTACTACTGTGAGGTAGGAATAAGGACTTATCACACCAGTGATAATAAGCACAAACACTCAAAATATCAATGGGATACATTTAATAAAACGAGAATGGGTGTACATTACAAACTATTAAATTAATAATTGACATGAAATAACCAAAATGCATTTCGGACTATCGGAATAGTCCCTCTTCAGTTGGTATACATATATAAAAAAAGTGAGATACTTAGAATTATACAAGACAAAGAAACCGTTATAAAAGTATGATTATTGAGTAATAATTGGGTGTAGAGGAACAGGCTTAAGGTGGCTTCATTATGTTAAATGGTAG